AAGAGGAGGAAGAGGAAAAAAAGAAAGAACATTTCGTCGTCGCCGCCGATGTCTCACAAATTTTCGTGGTCGAAAGATCACCCGAAACATTTCTTCGAATACAGCCTCAATCGGGGATCTTCTGATCCGGGTCAATCCAGACCCGGGTCAGCAGGAAACCAAACACTGCAATGCAGGAAAAAAAAATGCAACGCAGATCTTCGCAAACCCGGGTCAGCCAATACGCGCGGCCGCCTCGCGGCCACGAGCGGCTCGCTAACCTGGTCAGCCAGAGGGGGTCTTCGCAGGATCCTGCAAGATCTGGCGCCCTGGCTGACCCCCGTTTGCATTGACCCCCGTCTCAAGGCTCCCGACTCCAGGAACCGATTTCGGTGCCGGGGACCACCGCCGAAAGTCCGGGATGAGGATCGACCTCCCTGGCCGGTGCCAACTCTTCGCAAAGGAATGAACACGGGGTGGAGCGAGGCTGGAGGCATGAGACTCCTAGTTCTTGGGCGCTCTCCGCCCCCTCTGGGCCTTCAGGAAGCTCCTCGTCGACACAGCTGGGTCCACTCTCGAACTTCTGGCCGGACGCAACCCCAGCTGGGTCTCAACGATCACCGAGCCTGTCCTGGAGGTGGAAAAGGAGGCCTGGGACAGGCCCCGTGAAGGCCCCAAGAAATTCACATAAGACCACGGAAAACTTCAAAACAATCCCCTACAAGGCCCCCCCTTGAACCCCACGCGCTACGTAGGACAGGCCGAAGCCCCAAGATTGCCCAGCAATCGCGCGCGTTCCGCGAATTCAGTCTTTCACTCTTGCTGCCGCCGCAAGGGGTCGGCGGTGCGGGGCAAGCTAATGAGTCATTGATTTGATTCAGGTGTTTGAAGGATTCTGGCACTTGCGCCCCTTTGGCCTTCCGATGGCCCAAAATGGCCCAAGAGGCCCCCCAGATCGCCCAAGAGGCCTCCAGGATGGCCCCCCCAAGAGGACCCCGAGACTACCCAAGAGGCCTCCAAGACGCCCAAGATGGTCTCCAAGACGGCCCTGAAGCGTTCCAAGAGGGCCCCAAGACGGCCCAGAGAGGCCCCCAAGACGGCTTCCCCGACGGCATCAGACGGGCCAGGAAAGCCCTAAGACGGCCAAAGAGGCCCCCAAGAAGCCCCCCAAGGCCCCCAAGAAGGATGCCCCCAAGAGGCCTCCAGAAGGCCCCCAGGAAGCTCCTGGCCCATATTGGGGGTCCTCTTGGGGCTCTTTTGGGGGTCCTCTTGGGGCCTCTTGGAGGTCCTCTTGGGGCCCTCTCTGTGGTCCTCTTGGGGCCCTCTCGGGGGTCATCTTGGGGCCTCTTGGGGGTCCTCTTCGGGCCTCTTGAGTATCCTCTTGGGGCCCTCATGGGCCAATGGGGGTCCTCTTGGGGCCTCTTGGGGGTCCTCTTGGGGCCGTCGTTGTGGTCGTCTTGGGGCCCTCTTGGGGGTGCTCAGTCATAGCCTCGCGAGGCCGCGATGGTCCCTGGTGCCAGTTTCAGCGCTACCTGACCCCTCAGGGCGCTCGAGCCAAAGTGGCTGTGGCTGGAAGGAGAACTGGGGGGAGGAGGAGGAGCGAGATGGGAACGATAACTGGGCCCGCTCAGAGTCCAAGACCCCCCGCCGTTTTTCAATATAAATCTCCCGACGGCCCGTTTTCAGTTGAAAAACACAATACCTTCAGGCCAGCACGTGAAATTCAAAAAATGTCAAACGAATGGATGTGACATGTTTTGAATGTTGGAGGGCCGGCCAAAACCACTGTATTTTTACAGTGTTCACGCGCCTCAAGAAAAAACACATTGCAAACTGGGGGCTTCCAGGGGGCGGATTCAAGCGTTTGGGGACCCCCTGGGGGCGCCCTCCTCCTCCTCCTCCTCCTCCCCCTCCTCTTCCTCACCCCATCCACCTCCTCCCCCTCCTCCTCCTGGTCCTCCTCCTCCTCCTCCTCCTCCTCCATTCGCTCGCTCGCCCTCGCGTGCTCCAGGCGCGCGCCTCGCCTGCGCAAGGGAGGGCAGGGGGAGAGCCAGGGCAGAACCTCGCCTGCGCCCCCGAAGAAGAGGAGCAGGGGCACGGCGAGGGCACAGGAGGACGAGGCAGCCCAACTGGCTGCCATCTGAAATGCACCCCTTTCATCAACTTGCACCAACGACGAGGAGCCCAACTGGCTGCTATCTGGAATGCACCCTTCTTGCCCCACTTGCCCCACTTGCCCCTCGCGCCCGCCCGCCGTTGCGGAAATGAGGAGGCCCACTTGCCCTGGCCCACCTGCCCCACTTGCCCCGCTTGCCCCGCTTGGGCAAGTGGAGCAAGTAGGGCAAGTGGGGCAAGCGGAGGCAAGTGGGGCAAGTAAAGCAAGTGGGGCTCATTTCAAATAGCGTAACACCGCTGCACATCATAAGCCTTTGCCTCCTCTGACCACTGCGCCTTCTTCACTGTGCGGAGACGGCTGGAGCATGCTGGAATGGCTCGTCGCAGCCAAAGGAAAGACGTCGGCCTCTCGCGGCGCATCTCGGCCACGTAGGCGGCCGGCACGCCCTCGAGCCTGATGCGGACGAAGGTGCTGATGGCCACGCCGTCCGAGAAGCCGTCGCCTCGCTGAGCGGCGGGGCCGGCAAGGGGGTGGGCAGCTGGCAGGGGGGCGAGGGGAGACGATATCATGAGCAGCGTCTCGCCGATCCCGCTCCCCACCGGCACCGGCGTGGCCGTCGGTCGGAAGAAATAGGTAGAAGCATGAAGCAGGAGGGCGTTGAAAGCAGGTTGGGTTCCGTCCGCCCCCCAAGGAGAACGGAAGAGGCGAAGCAACTCGATCACTGAAGCAGGAAGGAGCCCGACGTAGACTGGACCCTGGGGACCCAAAGGTACCTACTCTCAACGACCGACGGGTCTTGGCGGGGAGATATCAGGGCGGCGAGGTCTGCACGCGTCCACTGCTGCCCCCCGGCCGGGCCCCCCCTGGGCCTGCAGGAACGGCGTGGGCGCCCTCCTGGCTCCTGGCCCGGGAGGCATACGCGCCGCTCGCCTGGGCCCAGGGGGGGGTCCTGGCCAGGGGCCGCGGATGTGTGCAGACCTCGTCGCCCCAGAGCGCCCCCTCTTGTGCCCGAAATGGGTACGGAAAGAATGGGTACAATGCCCAACAACAAATGTTGTCCCGAGCCAACAGCGGTCGCTGCTGGGCAGGCGGCCTTCTGTCTCGAATGGACAGAGGCCGCGGCGGCGCGGACAGCGAGTCCTGTTGAGAAGGAACAGGAACTGCTGTTGGGCAGTGTGCCCATTCCTTCCGTACCCATTTCGGGCGTCCAGATGTACGCCAGGCCCGTGTCGTGCCGACTTCCGGCGCTGGCTTCTGACACCGCGGGGAGCGTTCAACTTGGAACGATCGGACGTGTCCAGAACGTCCAAGCCGTTCCACATCGAGCGATTGTGGGTCGCCCGCGGCGTCGAGAGTTGAGCGCCGCTGAAAGGGGTCGCCGCTGGTCGACAAGACACGAACCTGCCGTAGGCTTGGCGATGCTGAATGCAGTCGACCCGTATCAGAAGAACGGGCGATAAGGATGCAGGCGCCATGGAAGGCCGTTTCGACGCTCTTCGAGCGGGGCGCAGCCAGCGAGAGCGGCCAAGGATGGGCCGAGGAGGCAAGGATGCAAGGGCACCCTTGGGAAGGTTGCCCATCCTTACTGTGCGGGTCGACTGTACGGCCGGACCTGGGACAAAGGAACACCCTTCAAGAACACGAGGCCCTCCGCCGGCCCAACCGAAGAGCGCGCTGAAGGGCACCGTCTCCCCCAAGATGCACGAGCATGTCCCACAGGCACGAAGAACCTTAGGGCACCCTCCACGAGCCGACCTCGATCTGATACAGTAAGGGCCCGACCACAAGAAACCAGAAACCTTCCACAAGAAACCCAACCCTGAGACCCCAGGACGTCCCTGGACTTTTGGTGTGGGAAAGCCACGATTTCCTTATCAAAACCGTGGAACCCCACGAAACCCTAGGCACCCTGGAGGCGAGCAGGGTGATTCGTGGTATGGGCCTCCACTGTACCTCGGCCCAGCCGTGGCAGGAGCACGGGATAGCAAGAGCACGGGATGGCAGGGGTAGAAGAAGAAGAAGAAGAAGAAACAACTGCGTAAACATATACTTTTGGCGCTCCGCGCGGATTTCTGGGATCCGCGCTGGGCCCCCTCCCTGGCGCGCGAAGCGCGCCGGGGGCGCCGCCGGGGGGCCCCAGCGCGGATCTTAGAAGTCCGCGCGGAGCGCCAACAGTCTATGCTTGCGGCGTCTTCTCTTCCTCGAAGCGCACCCTGGAGGCGAGCAGGGTGCTTCTTGGCATGGGCCCCCACCGCACCTCGGCCCGGCCGTGGCAAGGGCACGGGACGGGCACGGGCAGCGCAGCCCGGCGGAGGTCGTGAGCCCGGGGCACGGGCGCAGGAGCGGCAGAGCAGCGCAGCGCGGGGGACGTGTGCACGGAGGGGGGCGGCGGAGGGCGGGCCGCACGGGGCGGGGGAGGCGGGGCGCAGCGCAGCGCAGGGGCCCCCGGCGCTCCTCCCTCCGCTCCTCCGCGCAGCCCGGCGCTCGGCCGTGCTCGAGCAGCGGGCGCGCTGCCCTGCCCGGCGCGAGAGCGAGAGAGAGAGAGAGAAAGCGGCCCTGGCCTGCCCTCGTGTCTGCCTTCGTCGGACGGGGCCGGGACAAGGGCAGATCCGTCCAGAGCGTTCCGGAGCGCTCTCGGAGCGTTCCGGAGCGCTCTGAGAAGGCCGCGGAGCCCGAGACATCCTCCAAAGCCGGCAGATCTCGGAGGTCCTCGATTTTCCTTTACCCGATTGTATCCTCATCCTGGCTTCGTCTTACAGTGGAGGCCAGTCCACGAGAAACCTTCCACAAAAAACCAACCCTGGGACCCCAGGACGCCCATTGATTTTTGGCGGGGGAACGTCGCGCTTTCCATAGCCAAGCCATCGAAACTCAATAAACCCAGGGCACCCTGAAGGCAAGCAGGGTGTTTCTTGGCATGGGTCTCCACTGTATGGCTCAAGGTATGCTAGCGTCAGACGTGCGAGAACCTCAAGCGCCAACACGGCTTCGACGATGGCCCAGCTTCCGTCCGTGCAGCCGATTGAGAGTCAGAGCGTCAAGAGCGCAGCACGTGTGGACGTGTCGAGCAATAGCCTCGGTTGAAGCTGACGCGACCTCCATAATGCAACTCTTGGGGCTTCAGACATCCTGATAAGAATGCCTGGGGAACCTTCCAAACAACAGCCAAGTTTCGACAAAACGGCCACCCTCCATCTGCGTAGATACTAGGAACTGATGAAGCCATTATGACGCCCCGAAGACAAAAGTTCGTAATCAGTATCGTTATGTTGTCTGGACAACTACCACGACATGTTCTCAACATAACACACGCTGGTTCGTGCTGATCCCTCATGTTCATGCAATTAGCGATGGCGCAATGCATACTATCATCTCCTACTCTCTACCACCTCTGCATTCGTCCACTGGAGGCACTGGGGATTCGCACTCTTCCTCGCGCAGGTAGGCGCTGGTATAATATGATCATGCTACGTATCATGTGAAGGCAGGATTTGACCATGAACATTCTTACATATGTGCGCACCTCGAACTGGAAACCTTCAACTCACGCAAGATCCGAATCCGAAAAGAGACCACCATCAATCTGCGCAGTTGCCTAGAACGGGAAAGTTTCAGGACCATGACATCGGAGGACGTTTCGGACGCTTCAGGCAATAAGCGAATGTTGAAACCTCCACCGCACCCCCATGTCGGGCGTGGACTACCCCGGGTCAGCGCAAGCCCGGCTCAGCCAGTTGGAGGGTGCCACAAGCCCTGCACAAGCGATGTGTAAGGCCACCTCCAAGGCCGCGAGCGGCTCCGAAACCTGGCTCATCCAAAACATAGCTTGGCAGGATCCTGCAGGATCCGGCGCTCTGGCAGAGCCCCGCTTGCGCTGCCCTGCTAGCTGACCAGTGTCGGCGGTCGTGAAACCACCAGGAGTGCGCCGCTGGCTCGCTCAAGCGGCGCCCTTTGTGTGCTGTCGGCAAAACAGCGTGCTCTTGGAGCGGACGCTGCAATTTGCGCGAGACTGGGGCATGCTGTTTTTTCCTTGTCGGGGCGACCCATCCATGCGTTTGACTGCCTCAGCCCCTCGGGCTGCACGTGAGACGATCACACCGAATACGCAGGTCCGCACTCCGAGAGCGGAGGCGCGCACACGCCTGCGGCGACTGCTTTGTCCGGGGCGGCACCAGCTCCGTCCTGTGCTCGGGGCCACGGCGGGGGTGGGGTGAGAGGAGAGCGAAGGCCTGCGAACTACGGGGACCCTGGGATCACCACGAAAACAAATAACAAAAACTTGTTTGTGGGGATTCCAGGGTTCCCCTAGTTCCGACACATGTAGGGGGCGCGCAAACATGGATTAGCGATCCATGGATTTGGCGCGCGGTCGCCAAATCAATGAATCGGGGGAAGTGCCCTCCCCAAAATGCGGCCGGTGCCGCCTCGCTCGGCGGCGGAAATCCGCGATTTCCCAAGGAAACGGGACCTGTCGCTAATCCACGTCCCCCTGATCCATGCTTGCGATCGCCTGATCATGGGAAACCCATAGCCGGACGACTGCCGAGGAGGGCGGAGGAGAAGGACGCAGCCATCCGATCCGAGGAGGGTCCAAGCCCTGTTCGGCATGCAGAGAGGAGGGGGGGAAACGGCTGCGCGGCGAAGAGGTCGGAGTCCTCCCCGACGCCCCACGCGAGGAGGCTGAAAACAGCGACGACGGAGAGGACGAGCACGAGAAGGCAACAAAATGCGATGGCCAGACGAAGGCATCGCGTGCACTTGGCACTAGAGCCGTGCCGCTCGGCCTGGGCTGCTCAGCCGCCAGCCCATCCCGCGCCCCCCGCAATTCCTGTAGCCGCTCCTCGTCTCCTTCTCCAGACCTCCTCGTCCTCCTCCCTCTTCTCCTCCTCCAACTCCTCCATGGTCCCCTCCCTGTCCTAATCCGCCTCCTTCTCCTCCTCCTCCTCCTCCTCCTCCTCCTCCCCTCCTCCTCCTCCTCCTCCTCCTCCTCCTCCTCCTCCTCCTCCTCCTCCTCCTCCTCCTCCTCCTCCTCCTCCTCCTCCTGACCCTCCTTGACCCTCCTTGTCCCTCCTTCTACCTCCTTGTCCTGTCCTCCTCCTCCTCCTCCTCCTCCCCCTCCCCCTCCTCCTCCTCCTCCTCCTCCTCCTCCTCCTCTTCCTCCTCCTCCCCCATCTCCTCCTCCTCCTCCTCCTCCTCCTCCTCCTCCTCCTCCTCCTCCTCCTCCTCCTCCTCCTCCTCCGCATCCTCCTCACCCTCCTGCTTCCCCCTCCCCTCATCCTAAAATACCCAGCCCTTCACCGATTCTGCTATCCCTTTCCTCCTCCCCCTCCATCCCGCTTCATCAGAAGTACCTGCTCCTCCAACTACTCCATTGTCCGCTCCCTGTCCCAATCCTCCTCCTCCTCCTCCTCCTCCTCCTCCTCCTCCTCCTCCTCCTGCTCCTGCTCCTTTCCCCCCCTCCTCCTCCTCCTCCTCCTCCTCCTCCTCCTCCTCCTCCTCCTCCTCCTCCTACTCCTTCTACTCCTCCTCCTTCTCCTCCTCCTCTATCCCTGTCCTTCGAAATAACTCGTCCCTGTCGCACCCCGAGGCGTGTCGGTATGGCGGGCCGGGCGTTTCGCCCGAGACATCCTCACAAACCATGACTCTGGAGCATGAAAGGTTTGCAAACTCCCACGGGTGGAGGGCACGGCTCTCTTGAACGTTTGGAGGGCGGGTCCCTTTCAAACTGTGGCTCTCGCCCCAGCACCGAGCACACTTCTCTTGAGAGTTTTCAGGAGCTTCACGGATGGACGCGTCGTTTTCAAGCTGTGGCTCTTGTCTTCAGCGCCGCGCACATTCGTCTGAATAGTTTGCAGCAGGTTAACGAATGGAGTTGCGGGGCATTTTGAGAATACGGCTCTCGCCCCAACGCCGCGCACAGAAGTTCTGCACCAACTTTACGGATGGATGGCGGGTCCTTTTCAGAGTATGGCTCTCGCTCCAGCGCCGCGCACATTCGTTGTAGAAGTACGCAGGGAATTCAAGGATTGAGGGCGTGCCGTTTTCAAAATGTGGCTCTCGCCTTAGCGCAGAGCACACTCGTCTTAAGAATTTGCAATACTTTCACGGATGGAGGGCGGCTCCTTTGCAAAATATGGTTCTCGCCTTAGCGCCGCGCACATGTCTCTCAAAGGCTTGCTAGAATTGCACGGATGTGGGACGTGCTGTTCTCAAAATGTGGCTCTCGCCTGAAGAGCCGCGCACACTGGTCTCAAGAGGTTGCAAGAGTTTCACGGATGGAAGGCGGGCCGTTCTCAATATGTGGCTCTCGCCTTTTCGCCGCGCGTGCTCGTCTCAAATAAACGAAAGAGCTTCCCGGATGGAGAACGGGTCGTTTTCAAAATGGGGCTCTCGCCTGAGCGCCGCGCACACACGTCTTAACAGTGTAAAGCAATTGAACGGATTTTCATGGTTGACGTCCCAGCAACGGTGTCCCGGCACGATTTACGCGTGTCAGGGCGCAACAGACACGTCGATCCGCGGTGTTGCAGGAATGGCGTTCTGACATGATGCAGGATCGTCAGGACGCAACAGTAAAGTTTATTTGCGGTGTTGAAGTCCAAGGAGTGGTGCTCTGGTACGATTGAGGATTCTCAGGCGGTTGTCTTCCATCGGAGCATTTCCAGCAGTGAAAAATTTCTCGTAGGGACCTGTGAGGAGGGAACTTGGAGGGAGGGTTTATTGCATCATCGTTGATGCGCCTTGGGTTTACACCGGTCCTCATCCTCCTCCTTCTCCTCCTCCTCCTCCTTGTACCCCCTTGTCTCTCCTCCCTCTGTCCTTCTCTTCCTCCTGCCCCCCCTGCCCCACCATCCTCAAATGCCCAGCTCTTCACCGATTCTGCCTCGTCATCCTCCTCCTCCCCCTCCATCCCACTTCATCATAAGTACCTCCTCCCTGTCGCACTAGCAAGCGTGTCGACGGCTGGACCAGGCGTTTCGCTTGGGATCTCTTTACATCTTAATATCCCGATGCTTACAACTTCCAAAAATTACACGAATCGAGGGCTGGTCGTGTTCAACATTTTGCTAGAGCCATGCCCGTTCGTCTCAAAGGTTTCCTTCAGTTACAGGGACGGAGGCCAGTACGTTTCCAAAACGGGGCCTTCGCCACAGACTTCCCCAAACATATGGCCATTATCCTCAAATTGTGCAACAGCTGTACGGATGAAGGACGGTTCCTTTTCGAAAGTGGGCTCTCTCCAGAGACTTCGCAAGTTCCTCCTCCTCCTCCTCCTCCTCCTCCTCCTCCTCCTCCTCCTCCTCCTCCTCCTCCTCCTCCTCCTCCCCCTCCCCCTCCCCCTCCCCCTCCTCCTCCTCCTCCTCCTCCTCCTCCTCCTCCTCCTCCTCCTCCTCCTCCTCCTCCTCCTCCTCCTCATGACAGGAGTCCAAAACATTGTGCAAAAGCCACACGGTTGCAGGGCGGTTTCCTATCCAACACGCGAGGCTGTCGCTGGGCACCTCCCTGATCATCGAAGCGCCCACCCGCTCGCCTCCCGTACACAGCTCAAGGGGGAGAGGGCGGCCTCCTTCAAAGCGGGGCTCTCGCCAACATTGCGGGCAGGGGGGGGCGCTCGCCATTCGAGGGGGGAGCGCTCCCCGGGGTGAAGAATGCCTGCAGGGAATCCGCCGATTCAGCGTGTGAGTTTCTGAGAGCGTGGACTTGAGCTCAAGATTCGCTCTGCAAGGGGGGGGGGTACGCCATTCCCGACGCATTTGCTGCTCGGGGGCGGGGGGGCCCACAGGCCCCCAAAAAGCCCCCAGGAGGCTCTGGAAAGGGGAGGAGGGGGGGGGACGCCATTCCCGACGCATTTACTGCTCGGGGGCGGGGGTCCCACAGGCCCCCAAGAAACCCCCAGGAGGCCCAGAAGGCCCCCAAGAGGCCAGAAAAAGGCCCCAAAACTGCCCCCAAGAGGCTTCCCCAGGTCCCTTGCTCAATCCCCTGAACCTCAGTCCTCAAGCCTGAAGATTCTTAGTGGGCCTGGACCCCAAGCTCTCAAATCTCTTGAGGCTCCCCGCGCGCCTTCTGGGGCCCCCAGAATGTTCCCGCATGACTTTTTCGAGCCCAAGAGAAACCTCAAACGGGCCAACAGGGCCCCAAGAGGCCCTCAAGACGGCCCAAGAAAGCCCCAAATCACCGAACGATCGATCCAAGACGGCCAAGATGGCCCCATGGTCATTACCATGATAAGCATCATTCTAGTTGTCAGCATCACCACCACCACCACCACCACCACCACCACCACCACCACCACCACCACCACCACCACCACCACCACCACCACCACCACCACCACCACCAACCACCACCACCACCACCACCCACCACCACCACCACCACCACCACCACCACCACCACCACCACCA